GCCGTCGCTGGCGACTCACAGCAGCCCAGCTCCAGGTTGAGCTGTTGTTCAGCATCTTAGCTGTAGAGGGCAGTGTCACTGGCCCTCATACGTGGGATCCGAACCGGGGCCCTCTGGCATCCCAAGCGAGCTCTCAACCATCGCGCCACTCGGCCGGCCCCACAGTAGGATATTTTTTAATGTCCCAAAGTTTTCTGTTTAAATCTTACCTTGTGATGAACAAATGCTGAAATCCCTACTAATGTAGTAACTTGACTTCCAGTGAGCAATAATAAATTATGAGACTAAAAGTGAAATAATCTTCTTAACAAGTATTTAAAATCAAATTAATGTTTGAATTTGAGACATGGTGGTACCAAAATTGAGTTTAATGTTATCCAGAGACAAAGCTGTAAGTTATTTGAATGAATTACTATTGTTAATTGAAATGGTATCAATATTATCTTCACAACACAAAAGTCACTTAGTACTCAAAGAAATTACCTTGTATTTAAAATTGCAATTATGTTATATACTTCTGTTCCATATCTTTAACAAGAAATGTGACAGATTTTAAACAAATTTTTATTATTTTAATTTTATTTGTAATAATTGAGCAGTATTTGATGTTTCAACTTGGATTGTTTTTCTCTTTTAAAAAAAATCAAAACTAAAGATTCCAAAGAAAGAAGGGGTGAAAAAAGGATGGCAGAGAGCCTTGGCTATAGTTTGTGACTTCAAACTCTTCCTGTATGACATAGATGAAGAAAAAGACTTGAAACCGAATGTCATACTGAGTCATGTGATTGACATGAGGTGAGCTTTGAAAGGACAATCTGTTTTATCAGAAAAATCTAGGAATAAAAATGGTTTCTGATATTTTCTTTAAATAATGTTTTCATTTAAATTTAACTTTATGTTAAGTTTCTATTTTTCTCCATTGCCATGTGAACTTTAAAATAAGAGTTTTGCCTAAAGTTTGCATCACCACCTCTTAGGCACAAATTATAATTCAATGTGATATTTGTAAGAGTTTTTGAAGTCAAAAGTTATATTTGCTTAGCATTATCATGCTAAGCAAAATATGTCAGACAGAAAAAGTCGAGAACCATATGACTTTACTCATATGTAGGATATAAAACTGAAAGCAATAAATGAACAAGTCAAACAAGTAAATAAAAACCCATAGATGCAGACAACAGTTTACTGGTTACCAGAGGGTAAGTGGGGAGGAAGGATGGTGGAAGAGGGTAAAGGGGGTCAAATATACTCGTATGGTGATGGAAGGAGAACTGACTCTGAGTGGTAAGCACACAATGCAATATATAGATGATGTATTATAGAAATGTACACTTAAAGCCTGTATAATTTCACTAACCAATGTCACCCCAATAAATCTACAGAAATAAAAATTAATTAAAAACTTATTTTCTTATTAGGAGTGTGTGTGTGTGTGTGTGTGTGTGTGTAGCAAGAAAGGAAATAAAATCTCAAAACCAGACTCTCTGTATATTGAGATATAATTCACTATATCCTAAAATTCACCATTTAAAAGTGTGTAATTTACTGGTTTTTAGTATACTCACAAGGTTGTACACCATTCACCACAATCTAGATTTAGAACATTTTCATCACACCAAAAACAAACCCCTTACTCATTAGCAGACACTCTATATTTTCCCCTGGTACCAGCCCCTAGCAGCCTCTAATCTATTTCTTTCTTTATGAATTTACTTACTGTGGATATTTCATGTAAATGGAATCATACAACACATGGCTTTTTGTGACCGGCATCTTTTATTGAGCACAATGCTTTCAAAGACCATCCCTGTAGCATGTATTAATACTTTGTTACTTTTAATGGCTGATACCCTTTATCAGGTTGAGAAAATACCTAGTTTGTTGAGTGTTTTTATCTGGAAAGGGTGTTGGATTTTGACAAATGATTTTTTTGTGTCTACTAAGAGGATCATATATTTTCCCCCCCTTTATTAACATGGTGTATTACATTAATTCATTTTTCTATGTAGAACCAACCTTATATTCCCTGAGATGCATTCCGCTTGGTCATGGTGTGTAATCCATTTTTTTTATGCTGCTGGATTGGGTTTAGTTGAATTTATTGAGGATTTTTGCATGTATATTAATACAGAGTATTGATCTATAATTTTTTTGTGATACCTTTGCCTGGTTTTGACATTAGAGTAATACTGGTCTCAGAATGAGTTGGAATGTACTCGCTCACCTTTTACTTTTTGGAAGAATTTTTAAAGGGTTGGTATTATATACGTTTGTTTGTTAGAATTCACTAACAAAGTAATCTGGTCCTGGATTTTTCTTTATAGGAAGTTTTTTTGATTGATACTTTAATCTCTTTACTTGTTATTTTTAAGTCCATTCAGATTTTCTATATCTTCATGAGTCAGCTTTAGTACTTTGTGTTTTTCTAGGAACTTTTCTGTTTAATTTATATTACCTAGTTTTTTGGCATACACATTTTCATAGTATTTCTTTATACTTCTTTTAATTTTGGAAAGGTCAGAATAATATTCCTACTTTAACTTGTGATTTCAGTAATTTCAATATTTAATTTTTTTATTGTCAATTTAGTTAAAGGTTTATCAATTTTGTTGATCTTTTCAAAGAACCAACTTTTGGTTTTCTTTTATTTTTCTATACCCTTTCATTAATTTCTACTCCATTTTAAAAATTATTATTATTCCTTTCCTTTTGCTTGGTCTGGGTTTAGTTTGCTCTTTTTTTCTAGTTTATTAAGGTGGAAAGTTGTGTTGTTGGTCTGAGATCTTCACTTAATTGTTCCATCTGCCCCTCTTTCTCTGTCCTCTCCCTTTGCTATGACTATTATGTGTATTTTAGTATTTTTCATGGTGTCCCACAGGTCTCTGAGCCTCTTTTCATTTTTTTTTAATTTTTTTTTCTTTTTCAGATCAGATGATATTAATTGGTCTATCTGAAAGTTGAGTGATTCTGTGTTCTGCATGCTTAAATTTGTTGTTGAGCCTAACTAGTGAATTTTTCATTTCAGTTAAGATACTCTTTAACGACAAAATTTCTATTTTTAGAAATTTTAGGGTACTTTTAAAATAATTTCTATCTCCTTAGTGAGATTCTCTTCTATTAAGTGAGTTGTAATTCTCACAATTTCGTTTAGTTCTTCAGACATGTTTTTTTTTAGGTCTTCAAACATATTTAAAACAGCTGATTTAAATCTTTATCTAGTAAATCCAACTTCTGGGCTTCCTCAAGAACAATTTCTACTGAATGCTATTTTTTCCCTGTCTATTAGTCATACTTTTGTGCTTTTATGCATGTCATATTTTTTGTTTGTTTGTTAAAAACTAGCCATTTCAAATAATAAAATTGGCAACTCTGGTTATCAAATTCTACCTCCTCTCCAGGAGTTGTTGTGTTTGCCTGTTTGTTTAGTGACTTATGAACTAATATGTAAAGTCTTTATTATTTGTTATGTGTGGTCACTGGGGTGTACTTTCTTACCTTAGTAGTCAGCTAATGATTGTGCAGAGATTTCTTTAAACATCTGGAACCAGTAAGTCTTCCAAGTCTGTGATGAGAAGCTCTGTGTGCAGGTTGGGGCACTCCTTTAATACTCAGCCAGGCAGTTGACAACAATGTCTTCGCCTTCATCTTCTACTTGTTCAGAACCTCAAGAATATTGAAAGAGATAATGGCTGAAAACTCCCTAAATTTGTTGAAAAACACTAATCTATACATCTAAAGTCAGCCAGAGGTGAGACCTTATTACCTTCACAGGTCTTTCCTGAGCCCTACACATGTTCACAGCCTTATGCATGTGCATGGCCATCTAGATTCCTACAAAATATGTCAGAGCTTTTCAAAACCCCTATGGAAATCTCAATTCCTATCTTTTCCTATTTTTGGGTATTTTAATTTTTCTTCCCTAACTGTTAAACACTGCCTAGGCATCTGCAGAGTTAAAATACTTGCATGTAATTGTTTTCCATAAGTGCCCCTTTGGAACTAGACTTTTCAAATTGGAGGGGGAGCTCTGAGTCAAATCAAATACACAGCCTAACACAGTAAGGGGAGCAAGGTAGACTCCCAGGGTTGAAGAGATGGAATTAGGAGTCCAGAGGGATTCAAGTAGCTGGTGTTCACAAGGAACCAGTGAGTAGAAATCTGGAGAGAGAGAGAGAGAGAGAGAGAGAGAGAGAGAGAGAGAGAGAGAGAGAGAGAGAGAGAGAAAGGGAGAGAGACATATCTCCGTGGATCTACAAAGGACCTTGTTCAAAGATTCAGCATATTACTGATCAGTACCCACATGTGAGGAAACTACTAGAGGCCAGCAAAAGAACCACCTGAAAAGATCAGAGGGAATAGCTCCTGTTCCAACCAGTCAGACTGGATACCTCAAGATAATTGAATGACTCTAGATCCATTAAGTAAATGAATTTTATTTTATTATTTTTTCTTTTAAAAAAAATTTTAAATTACAGTTGACATTCAATATTATATTAGTTTCAGGTGTACAACATAGTGATTAGACATTTATATAACTTACAAAGTGGTTCCTCCGATAAGTCTAGTACCCACCTTATACTGGTATGTACCCACCTAATACGGTAATAATATAGTTATTACCATATTATTGACTATATTTTCTATGCTTTACACCTTCATGACTTTTTTGTAATTGCCAATTTGTACTTCTTAATTCCTTCACCTCTTTCACCTAGCCCCCGACCCCTCCCATCTGGCAACCATCAGTTTATTTTCTGTACCTATGAGTTTGTTTCTATTTTATTTGTTCATTTATTTTGTTTTATAGATTCTGCATGTAAGTGAAATCATATGGTGTTTCTCTGCCTGACTGCAAATCGGTTCAGCTACTATGAAAAACAGCATGGTGGTTTCTCAAAAAATTAAAAATAGAACTACCATATGACCCAACAACCCCACTTCTGGGTCTTTATCTGATGAAATACAAAACACTAATTTGAAAACATATATGCATCCCTATGTTCACTGCAGCATTATTTACAATAGCCAAGATATGGAAGCAACCTAAGGGTCCATTGATAGAAGAATAGATAAAGAGGAGGTTCTACATATAAACAATGGAATATTAGTTGGCCATGAAAAGAATGAAATTTTACCATTTGTGACAACATGGATAGACATAGAGGGTCTTATGCTAAGAGAAATAAATGCGACAGAGAAAGCAATTGAATTTTAATTAAAACTATACCACAAGACAACTCCAAGTCCAAATGGTCTCACTGAGGTATTTTAATCAAATGTCTAAGAAACAAATAATATCAATTCTACATAAATTCTTCCAGGAAATTGAAGAGCAGGAATCACTTCCCAAGTCATTTTATGAGGCCCACGTTACCTTGATGCCAAAGTCAGACATTATAAGAAAAATACAAATCAATATTCTTTGTGAAATTTGTTGCAAAAAGTCTTTACAAAATGTTAGCAAATTGAATCCAAAATTAGGAAAAATTATATTTCTCTGGTTTAACATTCCAAAACCAATGTATTTTACCATATTAATGAAAGAAAAAGTATGTCAATAGATACAGTAAACACATTTGACAAAAATAATATATTTATTCTTGATAAACACTGAGAAGGGAGTTTCCTCATCCTGATAAAGGCCATCTATGAAAATCCTACATTAACATTATAATTAGTGACAAAAACCTCAATGCTTTCTTCTTGAGATCAGGAATAAGACATGGAAGGGTGTTTGCTCTCACCACTCTTACTTAACATTGTACTGGAAGTCCTAGACAGGGAAGAAAAAAATAAAATACATTTAGATTGGAATGAAGAAAGCAAAATTATTCATAGAGAAGTGAACATCTATGTAGAAAATTCAAGGCAATTTACAAAAAAGCTGTTAGAACTAATAAATGAATTTAGCAAGTTTGCAGGATACATGATCAACATGTAAAAATGAACTGCATTTCTTTATACTAAAAACAAATAATCAGAATGCAAAAGTAAATAAGCAATAACATTTGCAGTAGCATCTAAACATATTACAAATTTAAAAATAAATATGACAAAAGATGTGCAAGACTTGTACAATGAAAATTAGAAAATATTTGACAGAAATTAATGAAGACCTAAATAAATGAAGAAGCTGAGTTCATGCATCAGAAAACTCAACATTTTAAAAATGTGAATGCTCCCAAAATTAATCTATAGTTTCAACACAATTTTAACCAAACCCCCAGCAGGCTTGTACATTTTTTTATTCCTAATTCCTAATTAAAATTCCAAAGGAAATGCAGAAAAGCTAGAAGAGGCAAAACAACTTTAAAAAAGAACAAATGCAGAAATATACATACAAATTATATAATATATTTATAATATACACATAAAATATATTTATGAATGAACAGGATATATTTATAATATATAAAATATATAATATATTTGTGCATATATTTCTGGATTTTCTATTCTGCTACTTTAATATGTACAGTGTTTTTAACAAGTTGCAAAAACTGTCAACAAATGGTACTGGAAGTTTAGATATCCATATGCAAAAAAATCAACTTCGATCTATACTTTTTATCACATACAAAAATTAACTCAAAGTAGATAATAGAATTAAATGTAAAATCTTAAACTATAAAGTACTTAGAAATAAACATGCAAGAAAACCTTTCTGATCTTGAATAGCACAAAGAATTTTTATTATAGGTACAACACCAAAGCTCAACACATAAAAGAAAATAATTGACAAATTGGATTTCATTAAAGTGTAAAACTTCTGCTCCTTGAAATACACTGTTAAGAGAAGTAACAGAAGCTGTAGACTAAGGGCAAATTAAATGCTTAACAGAGGACTTATATCCAGAATATATAAAAAATTCTTAAAACTCAATAATAAGAAAATACAAAGCACAATTTTTAAAAAATGGGCAAAGGATTTGAAAAGATACTTCAACAATGAAGCTACACTATGGCAAATAAGCATATGAATAGATGCTCAACATTATTAATTTTTGGATAAATTCAAATAAAACAACTATGAGATACCACTACACATCCGGAAGAAAGGCTAAAATTAAAAAGACTGATCATTTTAAGTGCTGGGAGGATGTGCAGCACGTAGAACTCTCATATGTTGCTTTGTAAATCACATAATGATTTTGGAAAAGAGTTTGGCATTTGCTTAAAAACTTAAACACACCTACTATATGATCTAGTCATTCCACTCCTAGGTATTTCCCCAAGAGAAATCATATGTCCATAAAAGACATACATGAATATTCATAGCAGCTTTATTTAAAATAGTCCCAGACTTGAAACAATCCAAATGTCTATTAATGGGTGAATGGACACGTTGTGTCATATCCATACAATAGAATATTACTCATCAGTAAAACAAAATGAAGTATTCATCTACAAGCATAAATTAATCTAAAAATAATTATGTTGAGAAAAAGAAGCCAGGCAAAAAGAACACATTGTACATTTCCATTTATATAAAATGCTAGAAAATGCAAAGTAATCTAGGGTGACTGGAAGCAGATCAGTGGTTGTTTGGGGAGGAGGATGTCGGGAATGAGGGGTTAAAAAGCAGTCCCAGGAAACTTTTGATTTTTATTGATTATCTCCATCGTGGGGATGGTTTCCCAGGTGTACACATAAATGAAAACTAGTTGTCTGCTTTAAATATGTGCAGTTTATCATATGTCAAGAATACCTGAGAAACATTAAAAAAATATGTCAAATGAGCTGGTCTGAGGGCACATGACACTTACTCAAGGGGCTGTGGCTTTGGAGTCAGACAGGTGCTCCTATCCCAGTTCCATGAGGACTGTCTGAATTAGGGACAGCCCAGAATTAACTCAGGTTTTCTGATAATACGCTTCTGGTCAGGTACTGCTGATACAATATTTAGACACTATCAGTTACTACAGAAAAGAATATTAAAAACCAATGAAATTAAAATTGAGGATTATGTTTATGCATTGTTTGACTCACTTTCAGGTGATTCTACTCACTTTCATTGTCTTGCTTCTCCTTCAGGGATGGAGTATTTTCTGTCAGTTCCGTCTGGCCCTCTGATTTTATTCCTGTGAGGGGAAAGGAAATGTTCCATGTGTTTAAAGTAAGTTCACTGCCATTGGATCCCTTAATTATACGTTTTGTTTCCTCCTTTACTTGCCTGTCCATTGAGGTGAAGCCTCCTTGGACTACTGAAAGTCACTGGAGGTTGAGATTTCATTGCCTCTTCCTCCCACTTGCCACAATAAATCTGTCCTCCTTATGAAGAAATACTATAAATTGCTTTATGCACATGACACATTTATCCTACAGTTAAATCTAAGACTGAAAACACAAATGTTCCTGAGGGCGTCCATTCATTCTACACTAAAGCAACAAGACAGATACCAGATTCATAGCTGAGAACAGGAGAAGCTTACAAAGCACACTGGTATTGGGTGAGGTGAAAGAAGGGGGAAAAAGTGACAGAGCAAGAGAGGTGACATACTTCAAGGTCAGATGTACATAACTGATGATTTATCATGGACCTGCGATAGCATGAATGTATAGCTTCTAAAACTAGAGGCACTTTGTAAAATAAGCTCCCTCTGAGACAAAATTTTGAAGTCATAATTCAAATTCAAACCAAGAGTACAAAATAGAAAAATTGGGAAGTATGTGCTTTTCCAATCTCTTAAAAAATAGACACTCCGCTCTTTAAAATTCATGTAAAAAATTAATGTGATTCTGGAATGTCAGTTAAATAAAGTGACAGAGGAAGCAAAGGACTGCTGTCACCTTGTGACTTGTGTGGTCACAGCAATCTATGAATCTGATATTTAACAAAGGCCAGACACAAGTATTCTTAGTTCCTTAGCCTATTTCAACTCTACCCAACCACCAAGAGTCCGTACAAAGACCTGGCCATTTGGAAGTGACTCAGAGAGTGAGATTTATTATGTCATTGCTGCCTAATTGACACTTACAAAAGAAAAAGTGTTACATATAAATGTAGAATTCTGCTAGCTGTCGACGAAAAACATCCAGTCTAAGAGAAAAATTATGAGTTTATTTGAGTCAAACTCAGGACAACTACCGGGAAGCAAAATCTCAACAGATTGATATTTGCTCCAGAAAATGGCCATTTTGTAACTTATTTTATATATCAGAATCAAAGGAGGAAGGTTACATGAAATCCATTGGTGTTGATTAAGGGGGTGGGAGAAAGCAAAGCGGGAAAATCTCTGGGATTGGATGAAAAGTAAAATGGAGAGACACACACTTCCTTTACATTGGTGGGTACAGCATAGTTAATAGCATTTTATAGCATGTAGAGATAGTATTTGGGAATAAGATAACAGTGAGGGATTTTGTACTTTCCTGCTCTGGTGTGGTGAGATTACTCTGATACTTAGATGCAATAAAGATGACAGACAGGTTTAAGGTAAAGACTGACTTTTGTCGAGGAAGGTACAGGCCAAGGATGTGACTTCCTGCCACAGCCCAACTTAGTTAGGGATTTTTATGTTCACACCATCCTCTCTGGTTATTTTGTCTCCTGAGCTTGTCAGGTTTAACATGTGGCTCCTTTTCCATCCACATAGCCCAGTTATATATTTCTATTTAAAATTTTGATTTGCCATTTACTAGTAATGATGTAAGTTATAGGCCTGTAACAGCCAGGAAAGCATAAATATTTTTGAATATTTCTAACTTAATGACAAAAATCCTTGAGCATTGCATAACACCACAATTGATTAAAGTGATTACAATTGCAAGACACATTGCTGTTTTAGAGATATGAAAAGTGCAAAGCTGTGTCTTAAAACTGAAGAAATAGAGAGGCTAAGTGGGGATTCTACCACCCTCTTCCCCATCTTCTCATCTGTAAAATGGAGAGAATAGTAGTATCTACCCGCTGAAGTTGCTATGAAGACTAAATCAATAACACGTGTAAATTTCTTAGGGAAGTTGCTGGTACAGAGTCAACACTCAGAAAATGGTAACTATTTTCATTTGATGAAGTGTAATCTCTATGTAGTTAGAGTTTGCCAGTGTTTTTATGAGGATCAAAATAGAAGTGACTCTGACCTTTCACTTTTAGGCTGGGTTCTAATGCTCACATCATTTATTCTACTGAGCAGGAGGAGGGTGATAATAGAATACCCTTTACCAGTGACGAGTTTAATGACAAGTGTTAAACAGGCTGGCATAAAGCATTTGTGCTTTCTTATAACCTAGATATTCCTTAAATCGTTCTAGGTCACAGCTTCCCAGCCTCAACACCTAGTCATAGATGTTCAATCCCGATATTAGCAGCTAGTGAGAATGAGAAGACTGAGTGGGTGGGAGTGCTGAGTAAATGGCACAAGATGTTGAAAAAAAGTCATTCCAGAGACCACTCAGTCTATGTTCTGAAAGAGGCTTATGACAGCAATCTGCCCCTGATCAAAACCACCCAGACAGCTGCAATCATAGGTATGGATTTACATTTATCCCACTAGGTTCATATCCCTCACCACAGTCCCCAAATCATCTGAAAACCTTAACCTAATTCATAACTCATTTGTCAGCAAAACCTGACTGAATGAGGCTGTGGGAGTGTTGTCCTCCCCTCTTCCATGGCTACTCATAGGATTCTCTGCAAAGATATTCACATATTTGATTATATGATGGTCCCCCAGGCCCTGCATAAGAGATGTTTCTTTAATATGCAGTAGTGCCTCCCTCAAGTCTAGGAAGTTCTGAGTTCCCATACATATTTGACCCTCAGAGTATCACATAAAAGGTGTGGCCTGTGGAGCGACTGTCAGCTATGCACCTCGAGGGCAGAGACTGTCTCTCACATCTGTATGCCCAAAGCCCAATACTCAATAATAAATGAAAACTAAGTGAATCTATCAAGGAATTGCTAAGGTCAATAAAATTACTCAACTTCCTTGAGTACTACTGTGCTCGTGTATTAAATGCGGATAATTCCTGCTTTTCAGTTATGCAGAGGATTAAAGAAGCTGATGTGTGTAAAGTTCTGTGATTTGTATTCAAGACATTTACTATGTAAGTGCTATCTTTGCACGTTGAGCTTTAGTTCTCACTATGTTCTTACACACACCTCCATGCTCATACAGTTCAGGACAAGATCACCAGCAAATTAAATTATAAAATATTTTCATTCACAAAACAATTATTTATAGCAAATTTAAAAGTATACATTACTTGAATGTTATATTTTCTTCAAGTCTTCATTAATATTACTTTGTGATGATATGTCTATTGAGAAAAGTCATGTTTTATTATGTTTCTGTAGTCTGAAAGAAAAATAATATTGCAAGTTAATTATTCTTTTGTTTTTCATTTTCATATATGCTAAATATGTATTTCATTTGACTTCTAAACTTTTCAATATTGAAAAATTTGTCCAGTTTATTCTGTTTGCTTAATGTTTGCCAAATAAAATCCTTGATGTTTTTATTTATGTGTCAAATATAGATCAGAAAAGAATTGCTCTGGGAAATGAAGAATGGTTATTCGTTGTACATGTTACCATAGATGGTAAGGAGAGTCTTTTCTGTTCTGGAATAACTTTAAACTCTAGTAATAATAATATTAGACTTGTTCTCTTTTTTTTCTGTAAAAGACATCTTCCACATCTGGTTTGATGTGATTTAAAGTCAAATGATGACTTTCCTAATTTCCAGAGATCCATCATCCCCCGCAATCTGAATATCTTTACAGGTGATTTTATCTAATAAGTCTGCAGTTAAGAACTTAGTTTACCATCTTCTGGTTGGTGCATGAAAGACAACACAATTCTGTCTGGTTGTCCTAGTGGAGGCACTATTATATTGGCAGGCACCATGAAGAGTAACGACATAAAATTGGATATCCCCTGGATAAGAGGGCAGAGTTCCCTGTTTTTGTGTTTGTGTATGTTTTTGTTTTGGCTCTCATGGGTTTTTGAAGGAGAAATGGGGACTAGATGAAATGAAGAGCAGCCATTCTCACATAGCTGTCCTCTTGAGTGCCTTGCATCCTAACAAATGGGTAAAGGAGAAGGTGCGTTTGAAGAACACCAGCTCTGCTCTCCACTGAAGGCCTCCCATGCCTTGTGGTGACAGTCCCACTGAAAGGGCCACCAGGTATCTGTAGGAAAATAGAGACTGGTGTCATCTTGCTCAGAGCCCTACCCCACATACTTAGTGCCCAGCACTCAACAAATATTTGGGTATTAATGGAATCAATTCAGTGCCAGAGAAAAAAAGGGCATTTTTCCCCCTAAAGATGTAGTATGTTTCCATTTGTCAGACATTGAAAAGTTTTTGCTTGCTGCCTAGAATCTCAGGGCTAAGTTTAGTGATTTATTGTGCTAACTTTGTTATTAAGGTAATTATATTATTTCTGGAATAATTACCGTATTCTTTCCTATATGATTCTTGATCTACCATCCTTCTCTTCTTATCCTTTTTCACCCCTCTCAAACCCACTGGTGAGTTTATATCTGTGATTTTATTAGAACATGACTTAAATCCAAAGGAGCCATAATTGAGAGAGAATGAAAAACAAGAAAATATTATTCTGCACAGCAAAGGAAACCATCAAAGAAATGAAAAGGCAGCCTACCAAAAGGGAGAAAATATTCCAAACCACATATCTGATAAAACGTTAATACCTAAAATATATGAAGAACTCATACAAATCAACAGCAAAAAACACACAAACAATCTGATTTTAAAAAGGGCTGAGGA